ATTATATATATTATCGTTATATGTCAAATTTGTTATATGGTCTAGATCATGTGATCATATTTATTATTTTATTATTGTCAATCTTTTTGTCGATCGTACTTATTATAGAAATGCTGATCAATATTTTAAACCAATTAGAAGAAAGTCTTCCTATGATTGCGGATCATCAAATTGTCGTCTAAAAAAAGTTAGAGTCTTGATGTTTTTGAAATTGATGACAGCAAATATATAACAATCAATTAAAATTATCAACCATCAATTAAAGTTATTCATATCAAGTATAATTACCCAAATTCCTTCTTTTTCTTAATACGTACGAACAGAATTGCAATAATACTTCGACCAAAGTCTGCAATTCAATAAAGGTTAAGACCCTGGATGGCACAGTCTATGTAAATGGAACATTTTGCTTTAGCACAGCACTGATATTTATTAACTGTAGAAATAATCAATTTGTTTAGAAGTAGAATTTCAAATTTCAAAGGTCAATCAAAAAGAGTGAGAGTGGAAATGATAAGAGAGAAAGAAAATTTCCATGAAAAATTTTGATTTTACGAAGGAAATTATAATCATTTCTATTACAAAACGATTAACGAGGAAGCGAAGGAGAGACTTCTACAAAGTAAGCGAAGGAGAATTCCACGAAGGAGTTGAAGGAGAGACATTTCACTTCCACTCTCATTTTTGAAAGAAAAAGAAACCCACCTTTATCCATGTTTTTCGATAGGAATTTTCGTATGCTAATTTTTTTTCATTAAAGGAAGAAAAAGATTTTCTTTGACGTTAAGGACAATTTATTCTTTCGCATGAAAAAATAAACTTTATTTTTTTTTTTTGAATGAGAATTTTATGTATATTCACATACTTTTGCAAAGTTATCATGAAAGTATGTCCAAACAAAGCTTCCCATTGTTAAACGATTACAGCGGCCACATGAATGAAGTTTGACGCAGTAACAATTTATTTACGTAAGAATCTCGTGTAATATTCTGGAAATGGGTTTGAATTACATCTTTATTAACTTCAGGTTCAATACTTTCCTCAATTTGATTCTTCACATGGAATAAAAAAAAAAACAGCTAACCGGTCTATGCTTTTACCCTCTTTATCTTTCTCGATTTTATTATGTGATTTAAAACATGACCGGTTTAGCGTTGAGGCATATCGAAATCTACGTCTTCAATTTTAAACACGTGTCCCGTATATTTTTTGATCTATTTTTTACCAGTCGAGTTTTATGTCATAAAAATTATAATTTATTAAGCAATATAAGTCAAGTCAATAAAAAAGTTTGAATAAAGATGTTATTATTTTGCTTTCAAATCATTTACTATTAATTATTGGAACAAAAAAAAAAAAAGAAAAAGAAAAAAAAAAATCCTAAGAAATTAAAGACCAATGTTAAAAATAATAAAAAAAAAAAAAAAATTATTTTTTCATAAGCACTTGTACAACTTCGATAACTCGAGAAAATATTTTAGAATGACTAACTACAACACCTAAAGAAAATCTAATGGTTTTGAATAAATGTCTGAAACCATACCACCAGCTTCTTGAACTAAGAGAGCTTCAGAAGCATGATCCTATTATTTATATATTAAAAGATATTCAATAATCATCATACCTTACGTATAAAAAAAAATAAATAAAATAATGAAGGTTTACTCACATATTCTTTTCGTAAATATTTCGAGTCGTTTAACATCGGCATCAACTCTAACCACTAAACAATATTTGCATTGACTATCCATGATTTAGTAAAAACAAGTAGTGAAACTATTTTTGCAGCATCCCAATGAGATGAATGTTCTGCTTCAACCGATTCACGAAATGATGCTTCTAGTACCGAAGAAATATTGGCCATTTGGATTTTCGTTTCTTCTGTTGAAGAAAATTTCCTCTATTATCAAAACAAATGTATGAATAAATTAATATAAATAAAATGACCAATGATGAAATATTAATAATACCTGAAAAGCTCCTCGACGTTTTTTCGCAACAAATTAACACCCCTTTTCTCCCTCTGGAACTTTAGAATATTCTGGTAAATTAGGGCATCTCATAACACCTAATTATACTTTACCATCTACAAGTAATGCTAAACAAACAGCAAACTTTTTGCCACGTAAAATCCTTGTGCGTCGATTGGATCAAGTGTCCAACATTCCTTTTTTTTTTAAAAAAAAGAAAAAAATAAATAAAAAATAAAAATGAATATTTACGATCAGAATATAAGAATTTGATATAGTAAAAAGAATCACAAAAACATCTACGAACTTCCTAATGAACCACCGGGAAAAGATCCTCAATCCATAGCATCCAAAAACTTTCATATAAAGTGGTTATTTTGGTTATCGCAGCAAAATAAGTATTGCGATATTGTTTCATCTAATGGATCATCTAGTATGAAATTAGTTAAAGTGTGAATGTTCGCTCTTAATTACTTTCCTGATTCAACGCTTAAATCCTTAGTAAATTCTTCTGCGAATTGGATTGGATCATTCAGAAAGAATGATATCATATTGTATTCATTACAGCTTGTGCACTAAAATCAGCAATTATAAAGATAAATTAGTTCACCTATTTAATTTTCTTTTCTATTAATTTTTATATATTTTATGTTTGACCTGTTACTGGGATCTAGTCTTTTTAAGTTATCTTGTTTGAATACTTTTGGCAGACCTACTGGCTTGTAAAACTGCATTAATAGCAACAGCAAGTTTTGCTGTAAACACTATTTTCAGGAAATAAATAAAAATTTAGAAAACTAAATTATTCGTTTCTCGGGAAATATTTTAATTGTCCGGAGCGAAGCGTAGGACATTACTGTTAGGTCCCTGCAATTTTCTTCTTTCCTTTCTTCCTTCCTTCTACCTATATTAATTCCCTTTTCGAGATCTTACTGTGTATACCATTACGTTCTGTTACCATTTTACTACGTACATCCTGTAAGAAAATAACTACTTAACTAGAGATAATTCACTGCATTACAATGCACAACATATCAATAATTTAAAGACTTTTTATTTAAATATAAAATTTATAAAAATAATATTAAAATAAAGTTAAAAAAAATGGTTGGTTTGTTTTGGAATTTAATATAATTAAATTTATATCATATATGGGTCTTTAATGGAGTACTTTCACGTTAAAAAGATTCTTTTATGATTGATGCTTATAATTATCAATCATTTAATCCACCATTGAAACTAGGTAAAGGGTTTACCATTTTATGAATGTTCAGATACAAATAATGAAGTAATCAGATGACATATAACTGAGGTACTAAAACTTTATGATTTGTTCATATAAGAAAAAGACGAAATATTGTCAATGAGGCAAGAACAAAATTATATATTAGGCGATCTTATTGTAAATAGTTAATTCTGAATGAAGAATAGTATTCTGCAAATGCACTTAAGATAAGAAAATATTACCTAAGTTACTAAAGTCGAATTACTAATTCATTAGGATCGCAGAAAAAAATGTATGAAATAACCAAATTTGAAGGATAACGTCAAATTCATGATTGCATTAAAAAAAAAATGGTCGGTTTGAGTATCAGTTCGAAAATACAGAAAAATAAGTTATAGTGGTATGAAAGTAGTATAAAAAAAGTATAAGTTTATAAAATTCCGATCGCCAAAATAAAATTTGAAGAATGTCATTATAACAATAATTACACGGCCGTATATGATTATTACACTTTGTCCCTGGAGTAATTTGTCACGGAGAGAAATTATTTAAACTTCGACCATGATATTACAATATAAGTTGTTACTTATATAAAAATACTTTTAATACGTTAATTATTATATATACTTAATTTAAATTCTATTTACTATTAATATTAAATATAAAAGAACAATTATTAAATGTATTTTCTTTAAAAATACGTTGAAATGAGAAATCAGTTGTCATTAATTAACTCTCAATTAAATTCTTTTGTGCAGAATCGTTTTGCAATTCTAAATAAATGAATGTTAGTTTCTTTATAAAAATATGTAAAGATAAAATAAATAGATAAAGAACCTTGATTATATGCATTGAAGATCAAATTTACACGATATTGTTCTAACTGCATAACCCAATTATTAGTTGATTTATCAATTGAAATACAATTAATAATTGCTTATATATCACTATCACTAGGTTCATTATATTTATATTTGGCTAAATAATAAAATAATTTTTTATTATAAAAAAGATTTTAAAAGGTTTTTATTAATAACAATTTGGATTTTAGCGTAATAAAAAAATGCAGTTGTATTGAGATTAAATGATATAAAACGAGAAAGAAAATAATATTTAAAATAATATTTTATAATAATCGGGAGGCCGAATAATTATATCGTAACTTCACGGTGTTGGTCGCAAATACAGTATTACTGCGCCTTTGAAGATCTACAACTGTGCCAAATATCACGAAAATGATACATGTTAAACATGTAATACATGTATCGTTTGATCGACTTTATAATACATGTATCGAATGGTTTACTTTTTAATACAAATATAATATAGTCTTCTTTTTATTATTTATATTATATTATCTAGTTTTCATTATATGTATCATTTATACTTATCAAAAAGCATAGTATAGTACTAGTTAACAATTTTATATAAATAGACCCTTGAATCAACAGAGTTTTGCTCAGGGATTGAGATAAGTCTTGGGACTAGACTTATAACTCTACAGTTTAATAAAGTTACTATTTTACACTTTCAACCTTCTTCTTGTCTTCATCATAGGATTGATCGTGATAACCTACTACACAAGTGAATCGTGATAATAAATTGTTTTATTTGTTTATCGTTAATTTCTCTTAGGAAAGGCCTTTGAGATAATTGTGTTATTAAGTTTATTAGTTTTGTTAGCTTGGTTTGAGACGATTCCAGGTCTAACCCCACATTTACTATAGAAATGCATTGATTGGTGGATTTTGCTACTTTGTGATATGGCAAAATATCCAATCAATGCAATGTATTGATTGCTTAACCGTGAACGATGTAGTAATCTCTGATAAACCGTGTATCAAAAAATAATTATTATGTAAGGAATTAATTTATTAAAAACATATATATTTTTTTTTCATTTAAGTTTTTAAGGAATTACATGTAAATATACCATGAATGCTCCTGACAAAAGGAGCTTGATAATCTGGCATCTAAAATCATTGGATATAAAGTGCTATGAATAATTTAAACCTATCAAATTATTTATGATTTTAACCATTTAAAAATTTAAAAATTGCCTGAAATCCTCATAATGTTACTATCATGATTTCTTTTTTGATTTTGATACCGTTTATAACTTATAATACCAATTACCAAAAGTATTGTGACACTGATAATTCCACTTATAGTACCTATTATAATTTTCATTTTTTTACTTAATTTATTTTCTGAATTATTAGTAGTATTTTCAGAAGTTATAATTGGAGATTTTGATTGCGTTTCATTTAACAGTGTAGGGTTAGGTTCAAATTTATCAACCCAAGTATAACTTCTAATATCTAACAGATAAATTCTTGAATTTAACCCTGACGGAATAGCGTTTGGTTGAGTTATATTTCCTATAATTCAATATAGTTAATATTAAAATTTATAATTCAACCTAATTATATAAACATTTACTTACCGAAAGCAACAATCATGTAATTCCCAAATAAATTTGCCGTATGAGATGTAAGCGATGGAACTTCAAAAATATTTGATGATATTTGCGGTATAGTCCATTCAAATGGAGATGCTTGAGTATTTAAAACTGCCAAATCTGGAAAAACTTTAATATTTTCCAATTCATCAGCTTTCTTTCCCCCTCCAAAAATTATGATTCTTCCATCAGAAACTAATAATATGTTGATATATATTAATCATTCATTATGTTTTAAAACAAAATATAATCTTTTGTAATAAAAAAGTTATACCTAGTACAGCCGAGTGTAAAAAGCGAGAGTCAATTTGAACGTTACTTTTCGCTTGCTTAATAAATTAAATAAATTTTATAATTTAAATTTCACAAAGGAGTTCACAATAATATAATAAAAGCACGTACCACTACTAACCAAGATGATAACTTGGTGTCATAAAGGTAAAGTTGATTAATATCTACTATACTTACAGTGTTATCATTATTACGCTCACGACCTCCAATATATACAATAACACCACTTGATAATATTGTCGCAGTATAACCAATTCGCGGTAAGGGTGCATTGACAATAGGGCCATAAGACCAAGTTAAATCATTTGTATTTAATATTGCCGTATTATTTAAAAATTGAACAATGTTTGATCCTAAATACTTATCGGCAGCACCACCAAAAACATAAATATTTCCAAAATCATCAGCAACAACTTGAAATTCTCTACGTCGTTCTGGTACTATTCCTTTCATTACAGGTATATACCATTGTCCGGATTTTAAATTAAATGCATATACAAGAGAAGTAAATGAATCTTCATTATTTTGATTTTGCATTATTCCTCCAATTAGGTAAATAGTCGGGTTATTATCATTATTAGTTAGTGCAGCAGCTGCCCAGCAACTTCTAAATCCTAATCCTGAACTTATTGTAAGGTCGGTCCATATCGGAATTTCTACATTAAATTGTTGAGACAAATCAAGATAAAAAACTTCGTTTGAGCAAGGGTCACCACCAATTGCTCCGCCAAAAAAATAAAGTTTATTTTGAACAAGGATAGAGGAATGAGCAACACGTCCTAAAGGAGTAAATGCTTCAATTATAAGGAACAAATAACATAATATGAAGAAAAGTAACTTATATTTCCTGCAAGTCATAATCTCAACTAAAGCAAGTAAATATTTTTTTTTTTTAAAAAAATTTTTATTTAATTTATTTAATTATAAATAATTTTATAAACAATCCTTATTTCGTGTAATACTACATTTCGTGATATGTCATCATTAAAATTCATTTGTTGATCACGCGGCGTGGTGTTGCATATTCACACTTCTTGTCCTCTCGGACAATAAAATCTAAATCCGATGAATAAAATCTCGGAAAATTATATTTGAAATTTTGGAGTTAAATTGATGATCAATTATTGTCACGTGATGAATATGACGAAATGTTACATTTTAGTTATTCAAATTATATGTTTCTTATAGTGGATGGAAAAATAAAGTAGCATCTTTAGATTATTAGATTAATAAAATATTCAATTAAATACATTCATTTTTTACGTTTCCTCCTGTTTGATTGTGAATAAAAATAAATGTTGATAGAATTAAGTTTTGATTGAATTGATTTTTTTTTTTGATTACTAAAAGTCACCGGGACAACCGAAAATATTTGAGACTCTTCTGAGAATACTTATAAGAATTCAGAGAAGTCATCCGAATATTTATGGGAAAACAAATTGTGCCGTTATGATCTTTATGTAGGCGATATTGTTTTTTCTTTATACAAAGATTTTTTTTTATGATTTGCAAAATGATCGTCCCATGACTTTGAAATGTCTTTTTGATAGTAAAAATTCCTACTGATATAACCGGCAATTCTACTTACAGCACAGTGCCTATTATAACTTTCATTTCTTTACTTAATTTATTTTCTGAAACATTTGTAGTTATAACATAATTTGATAGCGTTTCATTTAAAGGTGTAAGAGTAGGTTCAAATTGTCAACAAAAGTTTAGCGATTAAATTCTTGCCGTAATATCTCCTAACATTTAATATAGCTTATTCAATATTTCAATACTAAACTTTAAAATTTAAAATAAAATATGTTTAATAAAGCGAATTTCATATGATTTTCTAATAAATTTGCTGAATTGTTCAATCTTCACTTGATCATTTAAATCAATGGCTCTGATTTTCTAATTATTCTTTTGTAAAAATACAATTTATACCTAAAACAGCCGATTGTAGAAAGCTAGATTCAATTTGATCGCTATTATTCTT